TCCCGGGTTCAAGTGATTCTCCTACCTCAGCCTCCCAAGTAGCTGGGATTACAGGCGCCTGCTACTAATTTTTGTATTTTTAGTAGAGACGGGGTTTCATCATGTTGGCCAGGCTGGTCTTGACCTTGTGATCCGCCCGCCTCAGCCTCCCAAAGTGCTGGGATTACAGGCGTGAGCCACTGTGCCTGACCACTGAAGCCCACACTCCTAATCCCTACTGCACACAGCCTCCCTGCCATGAGGAAGGATTGGAGCTTTGTTAGTTTTCAACAGGCTGAAGGTTTGTAACAGTTGAAGATTGGGACTTTTTAATTTCCATGTTGCGTATTCTATGAACAGGAAAATGACAGTGACTAGACCTGTCCTTTTCAGGAAGAAAACGAGGTGGTCAGTTTTTAGAGGAGGAGGCATTAAGGCTGGCAGAGAACCTCCTCAACCCATCAAGTGGGGAAGGTGGTTAATGATGCCAGAAGAATATAGGTCTCTGGGTTTAGGTTTTGTAAACTAGAGTGCGTTTTCCTCTCCCTGGGAAAGATAGAGCCAGATAGATACTTCTGGTACCTGGAGCAGAGGGATCTATGGGAACCTTTTGGTGGGTGAATGAAGGAACTTTGAATGCCACGTGAACGGTCCCACTTAACCCCAGAGGTTGGGGCCAGGCTGCAGTAGAGCAGGGTCAGAGCTCAGCGTTTGCCCCGTGCAGCTTTATTTGCCCTCACTAAGGTGGTCTGGGGACCACCTTGCATCTTCAGGAATGTCTCTGGAAGAAGCCAGAATATGAAGCTCCTTGACCAGAGTATAGGCACAGGAAGCCAGGGTTACTTGGTAAATGGCAAGGCCTAATCCTGGCTTTGCAGCCTAAATGGCTGGTTCTGGCATAGGTTTTATCCAGCAGCTCTCTGACCACACAGAATCACTCAGTGTGTCTGATACATAAAAGGTGCTCAGTAAATACTGTAGGGGCCTATTATGTGCAGCTTTGCTCATTCAGCTACATGCTTTGAGGAGAAATAAAGGGTGGGGGAAAGGGAGTGGGAGGTAGGAAGAAAAGTAGTTC